ATCATTTCTTTAACAATCCGTGCTATGATCTTGCCTGGAAATTAGGCAAGCCTGCTGTTGGAATTGCTGCTAATCTCTTGACCTTTAATACTATATCATTAACATCTAAACTAGTCTTTGAAAGACGTAAAGCTATACCAGCCGCCTCTAATTTTTCAGCGTTTCCATATTGATCACCCATTATAGGGAGTACTAGCATTGGTTTTGCATTATACATTGATTCATGACTGCTAGACGCGCCACCATGACTCAAAAATACTTTTGTATTCTCATGAGATAATATTGCGAATTGAGGGGCGTATTTAGTTATGTGAATATGAGGGTGATTATTGTTTAAAATATCAGACATAGGAATACCAGAATTATTTAATGAAAGTAATTCAGAGGCGTCTATTTTTACAGTAGACCATATTACACCATCAATAACATCTTGATCGATCAGTTCAAGAAAAGATTTTAGAATAACGGCAATATTTTGAGGTGTTGTGACTACAACAGTTCCAATTGCAAAGTATAATGTTCGGGGATGAGTGGAAATAAATGAGTCAAGAGCTGGTGTTAGACTTGGATAAACGTCAGACATAATAGGACCAATTTCTTGATGGAGTGGAGATTCAGCACTCGGTATCTGCAAAAAAAGTAAATAATAATATAGTTTCTTAAATAAACATACTATAAGTTAATGTATTAATTTATTGAACTAGTTACGTCATTACCTCAAACCCAAAGAAATTATCTAGTAATATTAAAATATTTGATATTCGACCTCCAAAGTTCCAATGTGAATCAACTCCTACTTTTGCTCTTTGAGTATTTAGATCATTTACAACCTTAATAAAGTATTGAATATATCGTAATTTAAATATAACCGAGCATCTAAATCTTTCATAGAATGATTCATTTTCCATATTAACATGACATCCAAATATAGGGTTCGATTTATATGGAGTAGTGGACACTAAATAAAACAATATATTAATATGCATATTTATAATTAATTATATTGTGCTACCAAGGGAAAATTGTCATAAAGGTTTCATGAAGTGTAGTTTCCTCTTGGCGGCACCCATATACAATTTAGAATTACAATTAATGTACCCATGAGATTAGCAGCAATTCCAACAGCAGGCTTGCCTAATTTCCAGGCAAGATCATAGCACGGATTGTTAAAGAAATGAT